GATTCTATGATTCCAAGGTCTTTAGCTCTTTTCTCAAAGAGTGTTGGTGATTCACCAAACTACAAAGTTCAGGATTCTATAGTATTGAGACATCATAATAATAATAATAATAATAATAATAATAATAATAATAATAATAATACAACAGCCAGCGGAGTGATCTTGTCTGCTGTGGACTCATCCTGTTGTTTCAAATAATAATAATAATAATGATAATAATAATAATAATAACAACAACAACAAAATACAATATAAAAGCTGGCAGAGTGATCTTGTCTGCTGTGGACTCATCCTGTTGTGATAATAATAATAATAATAATACAATATAACAGCCAGCAGAGTGATCTTGTCTGCTGTGGACTCATCCTGTTGTGTTTCAAATAATAATAATAATAATAATAATAATAATAATAATAATAATAATAATAATAATAGGATTTAAAGATCTAACTGCTAAGACTCTGGCACAAGCCAGTCAAGGTGGTCCCAGTGGTGATCGGCACACTGGGCGCAGTGCCTAAAGACCTTGGCTTGCACTTAAGCACAATCGGCGCTGAAAAAATTACCACCTGACAGCTGCAGAAGGCCACCTTGCTGGGATCTGCACGCATTATTTGCCGATATATCATAATAATAATAATAATACTATACAACAGCCAGCAGAGTGATCTTGTTTGCTGTAGACTCATCCTGTTGGAATAATAATAATAATAATAATAATAATAATAATAATAATAATAATACAACAGCCAGCAGAGTGATCTTGTCTGCTGTGGACTCATCCTGTTGCGTTTCAAATAATAATAATAATAATAATAATAATAACAATGATAATAATAATAATGGTGAGGATTTAAAGATCGAACTGCAAAGACTCTGGCACAAGCCAGTCAAGGCAGTCCCAGTGGTGATCGGCACACTGGGTGCAGTGCCTAAAGACCTTGGCCTGCACTTAAAATCGGCGCTGAAAAAATTACCACCTGACAGCTGCAGAAGGCCACCTTGCTAGGATCTGTACGCATTATTCGCCGATACATCACACAGTCCTAGACACTTGGGAAGTGTCCGAAGTGTGATCCAATTCAGCAGCCAGCAGAGTGTCTGCTATGGACTCATCTTGTTGTGTTTCAAATAATAATAATAATAATCCCAGGTGACAGCAGGATTGAAGAGAAACAACTGGAAATGCTGACACAATATGAGGATTTAAAGATCGAACTGCAAAGACTCTGACACAAGCCAATCAAGGTGGTCCCAGTGGTAATTGGCACACTGGGTGCAGTGCCTAAGGACCTTGGCCTGCACTTAAACACAATCGGCGCTGACAAAATTACAATCTGCCAGCTGCAGACCTTACTGAGATCTGCACGCATTATTGGCTGATACATCACACAGACCTAGACACTTGGGAAGCATCCAACGTGTGATCCAATACAACAGCCAGCAGAGTGATCTTGTCTGCTGTGGACTCATTTTGTTGTCTCAAATAATAATACTTTATTGGATTGCTGTGAGTTTTCTGGGCTGTATGGCCATGTTCCAGAAGCATTCTCTCCTCACGTTTTGCCCACATCTATGGCAGACTTTCGCAGAGGTTGTGAAGTCTATTGAAAACTAGGCAAGTGGGTTTATTTATCTGTGGAATAATGTCCAAGGTGGAAGAAAGAACTCTTGTCTGTTGTAGGCAAGTGCAAATGTTGCAATTGGCCACCTTCATTAGCGTTGAATGGCCTTGCAGCTTCAAAGCCTGGCTGGTTGCTGCCCTGGGATCCTTTGTTGGGAGATGTTAGCTGGCCCTGCCATCCGCTGGGAAGTAACAGCCAGCAATGAAAGGACCGAGGCATATCTCGTTCATCCCGTTTGGCTATCAGCCAGCATGCCAACACCTTAAATTAAGAAACATCTTCCTAAGATCTAAAGACACTTGCAAGAACGCCTCAGCAAGCAGAGTCCAAAAGTGGCAGGCTAAAAGCCAGCACCTCAATCAATGGCTGAGACCAGATGAAAAACTCCCTTCCGGGCACACAGACAAGTGGATGACCTGGAAGGCGCTGAACAGACTGCACTCTGGCACTACAAGGTGCAGAGCTAACCTTTTGAATGAGGCTACAAAGTGGAGTCCATGACATGCGAGTGCAGAGAAGAGCAAACCACAGACCACTTACTACAATGCAATCCAAGCCCTCCTACATGCACAATGGAGAACCTCCTCACAGCGACACAAAAGGCAATCCAAATGGCCAGCTTCTGGCCAAAGGACATTTATCATAATGCCAAGTTTTTTAAACTTTGTGTTTTGAAATGCATTTTAACTGTACCCTCAAGTTGCTTCTGACATGATAAACAAATAAAGCTGGTCCTGATGGTTTCCTGTCTAGAATTCCCGTTTTCTGAGTGTTTTTCTCAGAAAAGCATGTGGACAATTTCAACAGAAATGATGAAACCATGAAAATGAGAAAAAAAAAAATCTGGCTACCAGTATTAAAAAAACTCTAAGATCACGACAGTAAATAAAGAACAACACTGAGAAAACGGGAACTCCAAACAGGAAACAATCGGAACCACGTAACATCTCCCAACTAAGGATTCCCCCAGGCAGGAAGCAGCCAGGCTTTGAAGCATGAATGGAAGAAAAATCCTGATCTAGACAGACTTAATGTTCCCATCCCCAAGGGAACAAAATATAGGGTATTGTTTTGTTTTTTTAAATGCTTGCATCTGTGTCCCAAAATATGACCCTGGCAATCGGTAGCAGTGGTATAAAGTGGTAACACTTTATATGTTTTAATCTGCTTATTGTTCTATGTGTTTTATTTACTTAACTTAATTGTTTTAGTTAATGGGATATATTTTATTGTTATGTTTTTAAGTGGCATTGAATTTTGCCAGAGTTGTAAGCCGCCTTGAGTCCCCTAAACAAATAATGATAATGATAATAATAATAAATAAATAACAGCAGGATTGATGAGAAGCAACTGGAAAAGCTTACACAATGTGAGGATTTAAAAATAGAACTGTAAGTCAGTGGCACAAGTCACTGGCACAAGTCAGTAAATGTTGTCCCAGTGGTGATCGGCACACTGGGTGCAGTGCCTAAAGAACTTGGCCTGCACTTAAAAGCAATTGGCGCTGACAAAATTACCACCTGTCAGCTGCAAAAGGCCACCCTATTCGGAACTGCGCACATTATTTGCTGGTACATCACACAGTCCTAGACACTTGGGAAGTGTCCAACGTGTGATCGAATACAAAAGCCTTTCTGATAACAAAGGAAGGAGCGCAATTGGTTCTGAAAGACCATTTTTATTTTCTAAGAATCAATAGAGATCTTCTTCCTCCAAAATAAATACAAGTACAAATGCCCACCCGGCTGCAGCACAAAGAAGAGCCGGGTTCCTACGGGGTGGGGACGGGTTAGGGTCAGGCAGAGAGCCAGGCTCCAAAAAAGGCTATAGTATCAAAATGTGTGCGAGTGAGAAGACAGCGGCCCTGCTCTGCGAGTGTCGGAAGGGCTGGGCCAAGGAAAGGCAGATGGGTCTGGAGAGATTGCTAGGATGCAGGGAAGTTGGGGAGGGAGGGGGATTCCAGGTTCTGTGTGAGTATAGAGCAGCCCCAATAATTTACATTCTCCCACTATAGTACAGTATCTTACAAAGGCATAGAGCCCGAGGACCCAGACAGCAGTGGGGTCTTGTCCTTGGGAGCGACACAGGCAGCTGGGCCTTGCTCAAGCAGCTGGCCAGGGCAGTCCTAGGCACAGGGCAAGGAAGGGCAGGCTGGCGCAAGAGGTAGGCTCGCTCCCGTGGAGGGCAGGGTGCTCTGTGGGTGCGCCCGGCAAGCTTGAGGGACCACCGAGTGCTCTGCACAGGCTCCCGCGGCTAGGCCGAGGGCCCCGGTTCCCCAAGGCTGGAGCTCCCTGCGCCCCTCTCCTGTACAGTCCAGCTGCACTGAGCGAGCGCCCAGGGCGGGGGGCCCTCGGAAGGTCAGTCGCTCTCGCTGGAGTCGCTGCTTTGCTCCCCTTGCACCTTGTTGCGGTGCTGCATGGCACGGTGGTAGGCGATCTGGACGGACTTGCGGATGTTGGACTTGCGCCCTTCCAGCATCTTCTCCTTGTCCAGGTCCTGGTTCACACCCAGGGGCACAAGCTTGGTACGGGGCAACCACTGCCTGCATGGTAAGAAGAGAAAAATGGAACAACCGAGCCTCAAAAAGGGTCCTACATGTCAGAAATATTAAAAATTAACTAGCTATTTTTAATTACAAAACTGTGAGTCAAGCACTGAAAAGGTTAAATGGATTCAATGACTCAGCAAAATCTGCAGTTCAATATTAGCAGGTGTGTCTGTAGCTTAGTAGCCCTCAGCCTGAGGTAGCCCCCCAGTGAGAGAGAAGCCTCTGTGAGCGAGGCCTCAGTGGGAGAAAAGCCTCAGTGTGAGGTAGGCTGAAAAAAAGGGCTGAAAAACTAGGCTTATACTTGAGTATATATGGTATATTAAAATATATTATCTTCATCCACTAACAATGCTAACAATATGGCCATGTAGTATTAGTAGGCCTTGTGTGTGAACCTCCAGTGTGAAGGTTGAACTTTATTTGTATTATTGAAACCTTGTTTTTGTAAATAGTGCAACTATATTATTTTGTTACAAAGAAAAGCCTCCAGTGGAAGAGATAACATTTAGTCTGTGTGTTTTTGTTCTTTTTGTCACTTTGGGCTACTGGTGCTGGGTCATGCTGCTGCTAACAAGTTACTCTGCTGTACATTTATGAGGAAGGTCTTTTGTTAATAAGCCCACTCACCCAAAACTACAGTCTTTCCTGAAAGGAGTAGTAATTCCCACCCCAGACTCCCGCCCTTGAATCATAAAAGTTGGAAAAGACTACATGAACCATCTAGCCCATCCTCCAGGAATACACAAAGTATTCCCAACAGAGTATACTTGAGCCTTAAATGCCTCAAGAGAAGGATACTTTACCACAGTCAAAGGCAGCCTATTTCACTGTAAAACAATTCTAACTACCAGAAAGTTCTCTGCTAAATCCTGCACCATCTCAGTATCTGTTTCCACTTTTATCTATGAGGTGCTAGTCTGGAGCTGCCCCCACTTGGCAACTCCATTCATCTAACCTGCTGTGATAAGACAAAGTCACAAGAAGGAATGCCCTTACCAGGTACGCTTATTATCAAAGAAGAGGACCAGGTAGAGATGTTCCCGTGCTTCCTGAGTCATCTGTTCTCCCAGCTTCAGCACCTCTAAGGGAGGCACAGGGATGGGGACACCGTGATGGAACATTCCTTCCCGCGGCATCTTAGGGTCAATGATCTGCCAAGAAGCAGGAGGGAGAAGATCAGGGACCAGCATGTGTCAAGCTCAAGGCCCATGGGCTGAATGCAGGCCGCCAGGTCATTTTATGTGGCCCTCTAGATCAGCCATGAGCAAACTCCGGCCCTCCATGTGTTTTGGACTTCAATTCCCACAATTCCTGGCCTCATGCCCCTTCTTTTCCCCCCTCAGCTGCTTAAGGAGCTCTCCTGGTGTTTTGGGCTTCAACTCCGAATTCGGAATTGTGGGACTTGAAGTCCAAAACACATGGAGGGCCAAAGTTTGTCCATGCCTGCTCAATAATCAATTTATTTATTTACCACAAATGTGGTAAATAAATAAATATCTGTATAAATTGATCACAGAGTCATGCTGGACAACCTAGACATTCCTAGAGAGATGTTAATAAAATCCGTGAATTATGAAAACTAGAAAACGTTCAACGTGCAAATGTCGAGGGCTGGCTGTATATCTCTACTCACCAGTGCTGGATAAGATGGGTAACCCCGGCATTTTGCCCAGACCAGGTCCAAGGCATCCAGAGGGGAGTCCTCATCCTCAGAGAGCCAGCCAGCCGACCGGCTGATGCTCTTCCGCACCACTGCAACAAGACACAAGGGGAAGGCGAAAGGTCACAGCCCTCCTTCTCCACGTCTCATCCCTAGAGAGGAAACCAGAGGAAAGGGGCACCGATACTTACTGCCATGGCCAACTCCTCGACCGGTTCCCACTGAGTAGGATTCGTTTTCGGTTCCCGATGAGTCTTCGCTGCTGTCCTCTGGGAAATTCACACGGGAGAAGGAAGGCTTGCCCCTCCCTTGTTTGGAAGGAGTCGTGCTAAGTGGAAAGAAGCAGAATTGTTATTTATTTCAGGTATTACTTTGTCCAGAGAGCTAAATACATGTTAATATCTGAAGTGGTAAAATGAAGGACAACCACTGAGAGATGTCTAGGAGAAATGGACTGGTGAGAACAAGGCACAACTTTCCCATATTGGCTGTCAAAAGCAATCTTGCCATCAAAACTCTAAGCAAACGCCACTAACAAAAGGCCTTCTTTAACTAGGGAGTAAACCCAGATTTCTTCTGAGCCTTACAAATCACCCTGGAAGGTATTTTGAGTGATTTTTTAAAAAGTAAATGCAGATGGTGATGGGGGAAGGGTGTGTGCAGCCCCCTGAAGCCTACTGAGTTGTGTTTACATCCCCCAGATCTTGACCAGTCCTAGCCCCTGCCCTTCGCTGATACCTGGTGCGGTCGGAGGCGGCACTGCTGCTGCTGGTGCTGCTCGACTCTGAGTCGGAGCTGCTACGTGGGAGGTTGTAGTCACTGCGATACACGAGGAAACTTTTCTTGACAGGCTGACTGCTACTGCTGAAGCCATTGGCTGGCAAGTCTGGAGAGAAACAAAAGGTTAATCAGGCAAATCAAAGCACAGACACTATTCTCAAGTCCCACAGGCCCACTGGGCAGGGAAACCAATAATTTAGGAAAGCTGGATTGTAACACAGATGCACTGGTTGCATGCCTCACAAAGTAGGGTTTTGGTTGAAAAAGAAGAATACTTCTATTTGGCTGGCCTCATCTCCCTGTATGAATCTTCCCAGGCCCTGAGATCTTCAGCAGAGGCCCTTCTCTCAGTCCCACCTCCATCTCAAGCTCAGTTGGTGGGAATGAGAGTGTGGGCCATCCTTCTCGGTGGCTGCCCCTCAATTGGTTTTAATGGTTTTATCTTTTTATTTTGAATACTGTTCATGTTTAATTCCACATTAATGTTTGCATATTTTTAGTTTTATTGTGAGCCACTTTCAGTCTCTCTTTTTTTAAAGAGAAAAAGCAGGATACAAATAATAATAATAATAATAATTTATTTACTTTTTATTATTTACTTTATTTGTATACCGCTGTTCTCAGCCCTTAGGCGACTCACAGCGGTTAACAACAGAACAGCAAAAATTCAATGCTACAATAACACGGTATAAAAACAGTTAACATCATAACACATTATACAATAATATACGATTAACAACAATAACCATTCACTACTAGCGTCTCATCACTAAAAACATGATCCAGGTCCGTCATCCATTGTTCCATTCCTATGTTCATTACACTCATTGCACTGACTATTCGAACGCCTGCTCAAACAACCAGGTCTTCACTTTTTTGCGGAATACCATTAATGATGGAACTAGTCTAATATCCGTGGGGATATTAGACTAGCTCCATTATAATATAATTATTATATTATAATATAATAATAATAATTATTATAATTATAATAATAATTATAATTATAATCTGACCTCCAAGGGAGAGAAAAAGTGAAAGCCTTGTTGCTACCTCAGACAAGAAAGGGGAAATAAGGCATTAACTTTCAAAGATATTTTCAGTTTTCTGAATTATTTTATTCTTTTTGCTAGCGCAAACTACCCCCTGGATTTCTTTTTTCAAACTCATAAGCTTCCCTCACACCCAACAATGTACAGAAGCGTTTGCTTTCTTTCCTCAGTCACTGTTCTTTCATTTCTTTGGGATAATATGCTTGGTCTTACGCAGGCAATACTTTCTGCTGGTTCCTGGTATTCCCACTGCCGACCTAAATCTGTGTGGAAAATGTTTGCATAATGCAAAGCTGCTGCCTTGCACGGTAGCAGGATTTTTAGTAATTTAGGCTTCCGAGACAAGTCGCTTTTGCATACAGTGTCTTAAGACCCTTTCTCAATTTTACTCTAGAGCAGGCATGGGCAAATTTTGGCTCTCCAGGTGTTTTGTACCTCAACTCCCACAATTCCTAACAGCCTACTGGCAGTTAGGAATTGTGGGAGTTGAAGTCCAAAACACCTGGAGGGCTGAAATTTGCCCATGCCTGTTCTAGAACATGCCTCTTCAACCTGTTACCCTCCAAATCCCAGAGGCTCTAGCCACCTTGTTGAAGAGACCTGCTTCAGACTGACTCACCAAGAGGAGCGTCATCTGCTGACTTGTCACTGTCACTGTCTGAGCTGGTGCTGGGGCGCGGGCTCCTGCCTCTCTTGCGTTGCCGCTGGGAGCTCATGATTGGCAGCTGTGGGGGCCCCACTGGGCTGTTTCCATGACCTGGGGCCAGTTGACTGTCACGGTTCTTGGGTGGACGCCCAGGACGTTTGGGAGGCCCGGCAGTCTTGGGATGCTTCTTGGAGAAAAGCACTGAGGTCCTTCTGCCAACTTCATGAGCTGGAGTGGAGGAAGAGTTGGGGCCAAGGCCTGGAATTAAAAGTGGCAGCGTTCGCTCAGAATAGGAAGCTAAATAGGAGCGGTTCTCTCTTTAAGCTGCCTTTAGTTCCCCCTCTACCTTTATAGGAGGCAATCACTGTTTATGACAGCTGGACAAATCTCAAAATGAGACAACTTCAATGCAACTTTCAGGAAGTCTTAGATCCAAACAAGCTGCAAGGATCAAATTAGTAAAACAGTAAAGAGCCCACTGCAGTGCAATATACTGTCCCAAATAGATGGCAACTATTGTTAATGACAACTGGTTTAAATCCCAAACAAGACAACTTTGGAAATTTCATGTCAATATAACTCTCAATAACTCTCAGTAAGCAAGAATCTAATTAGTAAAGAGATGACCGAGAGCCCACTACACTACAATTTGCAGTTCACATCCGGTTTATCCAGTGAAACGAATTATCTCCCCACAAATGGAGATGATCCTTACATAACATTTTAGCAATGCTTCCTCTCACAATAGTCCTCTCGATCAGCCCACTGCTCTTCTAACACCAGCATGTAGTGGTAAAGAAAGCTACCAATTTAGTCATGACATTCCTTATTTTACAAAGCGGTTACAACCTCTCAACCTAGTCTACCTCACAAGGATGTTGTGAGATCAATCATAGAGCAATACTGCTATGTTGCTTTAAATAATTGTAACCAAACATGAGCAACTGTAGATATATTTGGCCCATACTAATTATCAGGAATAACCAGCATAGCCGATGGTGGGGCATGATGTGAGATATAATTTAGCAACATTTGGAGGAGCACATGTTTCCCACCCCTGCTCTCTAGGAACCCATATTTCACATGCTGTATGGGAGACAGAAGTAGAATGGTCAAGAGAAAAAGAGGCTTGGGTCTGAATATAAGAATTTGTAGTAGGGATAATAGGTACAGGAAATGCCACTGAGGAACGTGACAGGTATCTTGGTTTTAGGGCTGTCCCTGTGGTTATTTGGGGCTTTGATTCAGAGAACTGCATTAGACAGACCACATCAGCTCTAGTGTCTTAGATATGGTTAGATTTATAATGGAAGGATTGTATCAAATAAGAACATTTTTATGCAGTACACCTATCCTTACATTACAAAGAGTCCAGGGACAGGGAAAGGCTAACTCCATGCAGTAGGGCCCCACCAACTACCGAACCAACCTTTGCCGGTTTCCTGGCTGCTGCTCTCCTCGGCGGCACTGTCGGTCTGAGTGTCCTTCTCGCAGGGGTTGTGGGTGGGCAGAATGATGCGGGTCAAGGGGCCATGCCCCTCCCTTCCTGTCTCCCGCTGATGCGCCAGCTTCCGCCGCAAGGCCGTGATCTCCTTTTTGATCATCTTGGCCCGCCGACAGCGGCCTACGCTCTGCTTTCCAGAGCTCACCTCAGCCAGGCGCTCCAACAGGAGGTTCAGCTGGTCTTCGAGGGGCAAGTGCTTCTGATTTTCAGACAGCAGCAGCCGCTCCTCATCTGGGGGAAGGAGACAAGATGTGTGTTAAATGCATTTCATAAGTACCTCATGTTTCTACCCATCAAGAAGGCCAAGAGGCAAGGTAGGACCAAGAGGCACAGCTGCTCAGCCATCTCAGATCACAAGAAGCCGCAAGAAATAAAATGAGATTGGACATAAATGGCCAAGTAAACTAGCCAAAAAAAAAAAAAAGGTGGGAGGGAAATGTTTGAGTCTCCCTGAGAAAGAAAAAGTGGGTTATAAATACAATAAATAAATAAATAATTTGAACAGTTCACTAGTTTGGAGTTTCAGGTTCGATTTCTAGTTCAAGAATTAATCGATGGAAGGGGAATCTTTTCTTTCTCAAAGGGCTGCACTCCCTAAGGCAGGACAAGTTATGGAGCGAAGGTGGGCACAATCCTCCTCACAAAATGCACCAAGGGATGCACCCTATCCTTGCTGCTGTGTGAAAGACATTCAGTGGCAACAATGACAAAGCAAACAATGTTTTACTATTAAAACAAGGTTCATGGAGAGCATGTAGATGATCACATTTTGCAACCTTTGTAAACCATGGCTGAGACCAAAAGCTTCCCAGATACTTATATGAAATTATAATAATAATAATACATTACACAGTCCTAGACACTTGGGAAGTGTTCGACTTGTGATTTTGTGATACGGAATCCAGCATACAGATCTCGTTTGCTGTGACATACTGTGTTTTTGTATCAGTAAAAGAACAATAACAACAACAACTTTATTCTTATATCCCGCCACTATCTCCCCAAAGGGCACAAAGTGGCTAAAAACAAACATAAAAGTGAACACAATATGAAATATAATAAAATAAAACATATGCACATATAAAAACATCAATTCAGACTAAATCAAACTGCGATCCTCTAACCGTGGCGGTAAATTACTGGTACCATGGCCGGGCTGTAAACATTGGAATAAAATAAGTGCAGTAATGGAGAGAAGGCATGGGATAAAGTGCAGGATGTGTGACTACTACGTAGGACAACTAGGGACGAAATATTCTCAAAGGCTTGATTGAAGAGCCACTTCTTCAAGTCTCTACTAAAGAAGGACAGTGTGGGGGCCTGACTAATCTCCCTGGGAAGGAGTTCCAAAGTCGTGGGGCCATCAACAAGAAGGCCCTCTCCCTCGACCCCGCAAACCATGTTTGTGACAGTGGCGGGTCTGAGAGGAGGGTCTCCCTGGCAGATCTTAGAGCCTGCATCAATTCATGGGGGAGGGGGATGTGATCACGAAGATAAGCAGGACCCAAGCTGTTTAGGGCTTTATAGGTGATAGCTAGCACTTTGAATTGGGACTGGAAACTTATCAGCAGCCAATGGTTCATTTTGGTACTGTTGCGATTTCCTCAGACTGCTGAAGTGGGTACATGACTGCAAAATCAAGTAGCATGTCAGGGAACATAGTGCATGGTCCCCATTTGTGCCCTCTGAAAAAAATGTCAGGGCCCACCTCCTTCTAATTTTTCTCCCTGTGAACTCAGAGCTAAACTCAAGACAACTGAAGGCCCACGATTCAATCTGTGTCATTTGGCCCATTGACAACCTAGAAAGCAACCAAATCAGAAGGCTCAGAAGAACACTGGGTGGATGGAGGAACCACTACTAAGAAACACATGAAAGTTCTGAAGTCCCACTGCACAATTCAGGGGAAAAAATACTACCACGTCCCAAGAACCTTCCATCCTGGTCTGGGGATTCTGAGAATTGTAATCCAAACAAGGATTTCTTGTTTTGTCCCAGCCTGAATGAACTCCCTCCAGAAAAGCATCAAGCACTCATTGAGGCCTGCTTACTATTTATGTACAATGGAAAGAAGAAGGAAGTGTACTAAAGTGTCTTCCTCTCTTTCTAGCCAATCATCTCTCCCCAACTTCCTTACTGTTTCAGTTTCGGATATGGGACACACATCCGTCCTCCAGACCTCCTTCTTTGAGATCACATCAGCACATTACTCCTCTCTTCCTTCTTTCAGTTCTCTTGCTGCCCTTGCCCGGCATAAGTTGGCTGGGTCTCCACCTCTTTCTAAGCTCAGAACAGCTCCGATAAAGACCACCAGAGACCCTTCTTCCAATCACTTCTGAATATGACATGTAGCCAAGCATCAGGGACAAATTCCTGGCTCCAGGGGCCACAATGACCAACCAATCAAAAAAAAAAAAACTAGATTGGAATCTCTTTTCTGACACCATAGAAAAGTAGGTATTCAAACATTATGAAATGTGCCTAGAAAAATGCTTTGAAAGTGCACCAGACTTCCAAGAAGGATTTTTTAAAACTAAAAAATGAGGGGGGCAGAATTCAGGACTTGCAAGTTTTAGATAATAATAATAATAATAATAATAATAATAATAATAATAATAATAATAATGATAATGATAATGATGATAATAATAATAATTTATTTATACCCCGCCACCATCCCCCTCCCCCAAGGGACTTGGGGCGGCTCACAAAAGCACCCAAAGGTGCAAACACACAAAATACAATAGGTGCATGAACACTATCACAATAACAATAATTACAGACTACATAAAATCATAAAACCTCACTAGTTAAAATCAATAAAATGCTATTGTGGCTGCCGATATAAATAATTTGCAATCAAGATGACATGTTCATCACCACCAGAGACTTTGCTACTACCACAGTGCTTTATTACATAGCTCAGCCATCTGTGAGTTCTGGGTATGTTCAGCCTGCAGAACAGAAGGTTTAGAGGAGACATGATAGCCATGTTGAAATTTCTGAAAGGATGTCATAAGGAAAAGAGAGCGGGTTTGTTTTCTGCTACCTTTCAAACTAACACTGGAGCAATGGATTCAAAATACAGGAAAGGAGATTCTGTTTGAACGTTAGGAAGAACTTCCTGACTGTAAGAGCTGTTTAACAGTGGAACTCACTGCCTCAGAGTGTGGTGGATGAGCATCCAAAGAGCTTTCTTTGGAGACTTCTAAACAGAAGAAGGATGGTTTTCTGTCAGGGGTGATTTGATTGTGCTTTTCCTGCACAGCAGGGGGTTAGACTGGATGGCCCTTAGGGTCTCTTCCAAATCTATGATTCCATAAGTTGGGACCTTTCAGATGTGTGGAAGAACAATTCTCACTCCAGGCAAGGGGTAATGGAAGCTATCTTCCAACAACTCTGTGCGGAGACAGTGTGAGAAAGGCTTGCCATTTCAACAGGGCTGGCTGCAATGAGAGACAGGAGACACCTTTTCCAACAATCTCTTTCTGACTTCCACTTCTAAGCACCACTCTGCCTGAACAGTCTGACAGCAACTCTCAGTTGTATGTCTCCTTCTGCTCCCACAAAGCAAGAGCCCCTTTGGGTTTCAAGCCCAGCACATTCCTACTCACCGTTCTCAGTGCTCCGCAGAGGTGCCTCGTCCCCAGCCATGGGGAAATGCATGCCAGTCTCAAAGTCAATGCCCATCTTCTCAGCCTGCCGCCGGGCCTGCCGCAACACAGCCCCTCCTTGCTCTCGCAACCGGACAGCTGCCCGGTAAAAGATGGTGTCTTTGGCATTGTACTTCAAACAGTTGGTAACTATCAAGTTGAAGTCCTCCTCAAACTCATCCAGATTCAAGTAGTGATAACCCTCTAGTTTCTGCTTCATGGTGTAGAAGTCCATAGGCTTCTTAATGTGGTCCAGATAGTCGGGGACCTGCAGCACACAGAAAGCAGAGCAGCTAAGAGACTGGAAGCCCATCTAAATCCCTGCTCCAAAGGAAGAAACAAAAAGGTTAGAACAGTCCTGAATGCAGGCTCTCAAGCTCTTGCCCAACCTGATGCAATCTTCCCCACTTAGAAGGGGGACTGCCATTCAGGGTGGGCACGCTGCAGCACAGCCAATGTCCCAGACAGTACACTTCAAGGTACAGGTTTCTGGTTGGGGAACGGCTGTTGTTCTTGTTTGGTGTATGCTTTCAAGTCTTTCTGACTTACAGCTCTTACAGGGTTTGCTTGGCAAGATTTGCCTTCCTCTGAGGCTGAGAAAGTGTGACCTGCCCAAGGCCACCAAGTGGGTTTCTATGACTGAGGATTCAAACCTTAGTGTCACTCCAAATTTATTTTAGTAGGGGACACAACAAATATAGCCAATTCCAGGCAAGTCTAAAGACTATGATCTAACTGGAAAAATCAGACAACCCAGTCTTGTTCACTACTGACCAAAAGGTCATGAGTTCGAAGCCAGCCCGAGTCGGAGTGAGCTTCCGACCAAAATTGTGTAGCTTGTTGTCGACCTTTGCAGCCCGAAAGAAGTTGCATCTATCAAGTAGGAAATTTAGGTACCACTTATGTGGAGAGGCTAATTTAACTGATTTACGAGGCCATAAAAAATCTCCAGAAAGTATGCAAAGAATGAGGAAGCAACAGTTCCCCTGGTGGCCAGGAGCTGGAATGTTAAATAGGCTCCGGGTGTCTGTCTATATATGTTGTGTGTCTGCCATGTATATGTACATTGCAATCTGCCTCGAGTCCCCTGTGGGATGAGAAGGAGGGAATATAAATACTGTAAATAAATAAATACCAGCAATCAGTACCCTTCTGCTGCTCTAGATTCTAGGAAATAGAGGAACGGTTCAGACAACAGGAAAAAAATCCCATTTAAGTATTGGGAAGATCTTCCTGATGATAAGAGCTGTTCAACAGTGGAGTATGCGATGGAATCCCCTTCTCTGGAGGTTTAGAAACAGAAGCTGGATGGCCATCTGGCGGAAGTGCTTTGATTGTGTGTTCTTGCAGAATGGGGTTGGAGTAGATAGTCCTGGTGATCTCTAAACATCAGAACTATAATTTCCATCTTTCCAAGTGGCACTAGCTAATCAATTGAAATTGCAAAGGAAGATAACTGGAGGGTATGAGGTTTGTTAAGTGTCAGGTTCCTTTCTGTACCAGCTCTGGTTCTATAGAGAGACATTTTATTTCAAATTATCCTCATAGTGAAACACAGAAGAGATGGAATGTCATAACCAAAAGTCATATGGATATGAGAGTGAGGCTGTTTTAACTCTTCAACAGCATTTAGAAAAAAAATACCATTTTCAGGGAACTATAACTCTCCAAATTCTTCACTCAGCATAGCTGGGAATTTCTGGAAGCTATGGCCCAATAAAGGAGCCCCTTCAAGTTTTGCTTTCCACTCCCCTTTCCTAACATGCCTCAGCCTCAGCCTCAGCATACATCTCCATCCATATCTGTTTTGTCCTTCTGTACAATAATTATTAATTGCATGAGAATAATGCATCATGGGGAGGAACTGTTCCCTATACACGAAGGGGTTGTAACACAGCAGCCTATACAACAGGTATGGGCAAACTTCAGCCCTCCAAGTGTTTTCGATTTCAACTCCCACAATTCCTAACAGCTGGTAGGCTGTTACGAATTGTGGGAGTTGAAGTCCAAAACACCTGGAGGCTGAAGTTTGCCTATGCCTGCTATACAACATAAAACATCGGGACCATACAGCAAGTTTGACCTACTATCTAACTTATATTGCTGTAAAGCTGGTTCGGGGGAAAAGCAAACCTTTTTAAAAATAACCTTGCCAATAACTGGACCTTTTTTTGTCAATGTGAGGAAACCCACTGGGTGACTTTAGACAGTCATCCACTCTCAGCCTCAGAGGAAGGCAATGGCAAACCACCTCTGAACAAATTTTGCCAAGAAAACCCAATGACAGATTCACCTTCGCATCAACACAAGTTGGAAATGACCTTAAAACACAAAACAACACAAATGTGCTCCTGCTAGGGGTATTTCAAACTCTTTATTCTCACCCGGTCAAAATGGAACAATAAAAAGAGAAGTCATTTAAATCTTTTTCCAACATCTCCCTTAATCCTTTTTTCACTAGTCTTCTTGTATGGTGTTCTGAAGAGTTGAAAACTCAAAGAGATTATTTAACACTTGATTTTTAATTCTGGACTTTCATAATTTCTTTCATAATTTCTACGCTGATAAGAAACTCCATAATGTTATGGACTGGAACGAACTGCAATATAACCTTGATGCCACAAGAATGTTAATGTATATTATTGTTGTTTTCAACTGCTTATTTTATGATGTTTTATACTTATTATTGATGTATATTTTTGTTTCGACCTCTAAAGTCACCTGAGGGCTGAGAAAAGCGGTATATAAATAAAGGAAATAAATAAATAATAAATAAAGCTCTATACGGAAATGGTATATAACACCAATAAGAATAGCAAATATAAATAAAAACTATTCAAAAATTGCTGGAGAGGATGCCAAGAATCAGGAACATACATACATATGTGGTGGCAGTGTAAATATGTAAATAATTTTTGGGGAAAGTATTTAGACAGATAGAGGATATAATGAACATTAAAATAGAAAGAAGTCCTAGTATAGCTTTATTATCATTACATAATAATAAACAGCTGAAAAAAAGGATAAAGATGCGACAACATACTTATTATCAATAGCAAGACTGCTTATAGCAAGGAATTGGAAAAGATAAATAAATATACAAATAGAGGAATGATATAAGGAAGTATGGAAATTGGCAACCTGACATGTAAGGAAAGAGGGCATGGAAATGAAGTGATTTTGATGATGTATGGAGAAAAATTATTGAAAAAGCATTCAAAAAGAAAGTAGGAAAGTTACCTCTACAAGAGAAAATGAAATTTTGGACTGATTATATATAAAAGGAGTGGCTTGGGGGTTTCAGTTTATATTACAGCTTTAGGATTACCCATTCAGTAAAGAAATAATTGGCCAAGTATGCAAGAAAGCCAAGTCCATGCTGAAAGATAATAGATGTCTATGCTGCTTGAGGGAATTCCATGACTTTAAAATAAATTGTGTTTCCAAGATCAGGCAAGATGTCTTTTTTATTGAAAAGAGACCACAGGGAAACAAATGGAAATAGTAAACGAAGAAACAACCTTTAGCTGACCAAAAGAAATTAGATAGGCCGTCCAGGGCAATTGCATGCTTGGAATAAAAGATATGACTTCTGGCATACCTTGAATATCAAAAAGAAGTAGGAAATCTAGGACCACCCATCAGAGACAAGTCAATCTGAGCTGTCTGAAGGATTAGGATCATCTGAAAAGACTCTTCTCTTTGTTCTGTTGTTTTTTGAGGCTTGTTTGGTGGAAACAATGGAGAAGGACTTCATGGTGACTGCTTCTAGACATTGGAGCTCCCTCCCGTGGGATAAAAGAGCAGCTCCATCTTTGATCTTCTTCCACTGGTTGACTATGGTTTCTATAGTCTTTTAATACATTATATGGATTGCATATAGGGCCAGGCCTTAACACAGCAGGTTAAACCACCAGCTGCAAAACATCTTGCCAATCAGAAAGTCGACCGTTCAAGCCCAGGCTGGGGTGAGCCCAGTTTCTGCTCACCTAGCAGTCTGAAAATAGCAATGTGAGTAGATAAATAGGTACTGCTTTGGCGGGGAGGTAATAAAAGATGCCCATGCAGACATGCCAGCGATTCGATCCAGAGAGTGTCTAAGGACAACAAAGCTCTTCAGCATGGAAGATGAAGCAACAGAAGCCCCCGCCCCCCCTGGCTGGAGTCGAGAACAGCCTCCAGATGCAAGAGATGGCAAAAGATGGGAAGCCTTTACCTCTGTTTATGTACAGTCTGTCTTTGTTAATTGTACAATGGCATGGAATATTTGTCATAAATGTGTATTGTAATTCGCACTGAATCCCCTCGGGAATATAGGGTGGAATATAAATAAAGATGATGATGATGATGATAGCATTTTGATAATTGTTAATGTTTTAACTTTATACATTATTTAATTGTTTTTAAAAACTGTTTTATTTATGATTTTATTGACATTTGTGTGATTTTTAATCTGTATCATTTTTAATATGATGTTGAGTCCCAAGAATACTAGTCCAACACTCAAACCCACTGCATTACACTGATTCTCTAGACTGAACCCTAGTTTATATTAGAAGGTTGACCTATAATGTCCTTTTCTCAGACCAAGAGAGGTCACCAAACCAGTTATACACAAGGAGCAATAAAGCCATATAAATGTACTTTAAAGAAAGATGTGCCGTTTCCCATAATTATTCCCAAACACAGAACAGCTGTTGGAGCACTGGTAGGCCTGTTCACATTTAAGTGCTAACACAAGGCCCAACTCTGTGGCTATACACAATACCTGGGTGGGGTGGGGTGGGGACAGGACCAGCAAGCTGCTAGGCCAGCCCCAGGGCTGGATGGGAACAGAGCAAAGTATAAATTGGGGGTGGAGGGGTTCTTACTTCGTAGAGTTCTGTTACCTCAGACAGCGGGACCGGCTGGCTGAAGATGTTGCCTGTGTCCTTCTCCTGGAGCTGCTCAAGTGTCCGGCGCAGGAGGATGAGGAATGGGGTCAGCTGCATCTCCAGGGCCACTTGCTGGATTTTAATCTGAAACATAGAGAGGCAGGAGGAGCAGTGAGCTCCAGGACTCTTTCAGCTGTCTCCAAGTCTGACACCCCAAAGCAGCAGGACGGCATTAAAAGAAGGGGCCAGAGGTCAAAGAGCACCACTTCTTTGAGAGGGCAGGGGGTCAAAGGGCGGTGACACTATGCTTCTTATTTTAGTATTTCCTCAGCATTCACTCCCATCCCTCTCTACTGTCCAAACAATAACATCCATATCCTTTGAGATTTGTGACAATAATAACCCCTAAATAGTACAGCTCTCGCATCCAAATCCCAGGACATGAAGAATTTAAACCTTTTGTCCCCATGGCAACATTATCGAACCCTGTCTCCCTGATATAAAACTACAGGTTCTGCTGGAACATTTTAGGGTCGCCTACGGTGCCAGTGTGCTTTTATTCCATGTGAAGTGAGTACATATCTGTAAAGGGGCCAACCCTCCTCTGAAACGGTTGTGTTGTCAGAGAAGATAATAATAAACTAACATATTTGGAAAGGCTAATGTGCTTCAAAAGAATTACAAAGACATGGTCTAAAAACCACAATTCTAGGAAACGGAGCTGCATCATGCACAATCCTGCTCTGGCTTTGTTTGGTTGTCAAAACGCAGCCCTGGGAGCTGCTGCAACAAGGTATTTCTTACTCAGGGGAACCTGGACTCCCCTCAAAGACTTCTCTTTTCCTTGCAAACTTTCACAGATAGGGTAATTCCACCTCTCTCAATTCACCTCAGGAAATCCTGGTGTGCCCCCGCCCCTTCACCATGGCATTCAGCTGCCATTTAAGCTCCAGTCCTTTCCCCCTGCCCTTCCACTCTGAGACCTCCATGTTCCTCTTCTCGATACTCAGAGGAACAACCTACCCGCCCCTTCCTGTGCCTCCCCCCTCATCCCCCTTTCCCAGTGAGGTTACCGTCTCTCTCTTGAGCTTCTCCCGTTTCCGAATTAATTCCACCAGCAAGCGCGCTCGTTCCAGGTCGTGGCGGAGGCGCTGCCAGGATTTCAGCTGCTCTTTCAGGGCCCAGTTCTTATCCTCTGTGTTATCTCGCTGCAGGAACATCAGAGTCTATGAGAGGAAGGGGCCTTATTTTTTTCCCCTGCCTGGCCACCACTGCTTAAAGCAGAGCAGCAGCAATCTTGCCAAAGTTGGAGCCAAGGATGGGAAGGGTGGTGGCAAATGCCAGAATGAGGCAGGGCAGGATGAGAGGGCAGGAGGGGAGGCACTTTGGAGGATTTGCAAAGGGAGAACAAGTGCCCTCCACAGAAATGTTCCTTTTTGAGGCTATAACTCCCAGAATTCCCAAAGACAACACGACTAAGGGAGAGTTTGTAAGTTGTAGTCCAAAAAAAATGAATGTTTCCAAGCTCTGTTTTCCTCCTCCCTCCAGGAAGAAGGAGGATATGAGGAGCTGCTTTAAAAAGAGTCAAGCACCCTGTCTGGGGCTATCTACTCTGCCTGGCAGCAAACTCTTTGAGCAGAAGAGGTGTTCCCTCTCCAGAAACCCTTAAGAGAAGGTGCCAAGGCTGAACTTCAGGCCTTCTGCATGCAAAGCAGGTTCTTGGGGTCTAACCTTGGGCTGATGTGCGGTTTTAACCAGAAGAAATCCATGGAATGCCTCCCTCCATTCATGGTGAAAGCCAAGACTGGGGCCCTCATCATCAGACCTCACCATGAAGGAAAACAATATCATGCTCCTTCAGTCCACCCAATAAAGCAGGTAGGCCATGTTGAACCCTGCCTCTTGGCCACAGTCTCCTAGTGAACCCTCCTTGCTCTTCCCCAACTCATTTAAATGCAAATGAGGTCATACCTGCTCAGTCTTGGACACAGGCGGAGGAGGAGCTGGCCGACTTTGCTCACAATTCCTGTGTGACTGCAGGTGAGTCTGGAGCCGGCGTAGCAAGGGAACACCATTGCGGGACTGCCTCTTCAGGGTCCAGTAGCTGTGCAGCCTCTGCATGAACTGGCTCTTCCTTTGCATGGTCAAGCGGTTGGTAATCTTACTGAGCCTAGAAGGAAGAGGGAATGAGGTCAGCTATACCACCTCACAAGAAATGTAAGACGTTGGGCCCAGATTCCCTCTTGTCAACATGCTCAGCCATTTCTGGGAATTATAATCTAAAGATAACAGGCTCTGTGTTTATAAGGGAAATAGAAAATTGCCTTATACCAGTTGTCAGACGATTAGACCACATAGCCCAGCATAAGAAGCCATGTTGTTTGGAGAATTTGGGAAGCTGTAGACAAAAGAAGTGATTTCACCAAATTCCATATAGCAGTTCTTATATTCTTAAATATTTATATACTTAAAGATAAGTGGAGTTTTTCAGCCCTTTTTTTCAGCTGAAAAAGCCTCCCTTGGATTATAATGGGGTCAAGGCTGGGCAGCGGAGCCTGAAGGTCATTGCTTGCCAAGTCAATCCCGACCGGGACCGCCTCCCACCTGGAAACCAATGCCCTCGCTGTGGGAGAAGATGCAGATCAAGAATAGGGCTCCACAGCCACCTACGGATCCACCCGCAGGTTACCACTCTTGGAGGACCATCATCCTCGGACTACGAGGGCCTTCTCGGTGGTGGCCCCTCGCCTGTGGAATGCACTCCCGGGGGAGATTAGGTCATCAACATCCCTCCTTGCTTTCAGAAGGAAGCTAAAAACCTGGATGTGGGACCAGGCCTTCGGGTAAGCTGGCAGATGGACAAGTAAGTAACCTTGCAATATATGATATATTTCTCCCTCCTCTTATCCCCCTTAACAGTATGATTTCTTTTCCAGTCAAAAGGGAGAGAAGGAGGGAAAGGAGATATATTTCATGTCCTCTTTGTTTGTATGGCTTTCTTTCAAGCCTGCCCAATTTCCTGGCTTTTTTGTATTAACTTTATATGTGCATTTTGTTCCCTTTCCCCTGCAAGCCTTTGCAATCCCTATGTATCTATATATCTATATCTGTATCCATCCATCTATCTATCTATCTATCTATCTATCTATCTATCTATCTATCTGTACACACTAATTTTATATATGAATTTTCCCCTTATGAGTTTGCAGGTCTTTGCAAATCCTATATACATATAGATTTCCATGTACCTGTATATCTGTATCTACATGTATACATTATTTTTATACATGAATCTCCCCACACATGTTTGCAAGTCTCTGAAAATCCTATATAGATATAGATAAATATATAGGGATACCTATATATCCGTATATCTGTATGTGTGTGTGTATAATTTTATAAATGAATTTTCCCCTCACATGTCTGCAAGTACATGGAGAAATATGCATATATAGAGAGAGGATTTGCAAACATTTCAGGGGGAAATGCATATGTGAAATTAGTACCATATATTTATTTATTTATGGCATTTGTAGCCTGCCTTTTTCAGCCTTACGGCGACTCAAGGCGGCTCACAGAATTAGCAAATTTGCTGCCATACATTCATAAAAATACAGTTAAAGCCATTCTACTCAACATTAAACATAATTATAGATCTATATTTAGCTCTGCATTGTTTATATAGGTATTGAATGTTTGCCTGTTACTATAATGGAAGCCGGCCTGAGTCCCTATGGGGAGATAGGGTGGGATACAAATCAAGTTTTTAAAAATATTATTATTATTATTATTATTATTATTATTATTATTATTATTATGTTATTGTTGATACCATATTGGTTTTGTTTACCCTACTTTTCCACTTACAGAGCTAGTTTACTATTTTTCTTTGAAATACAGTAAATATTCAAAACATTTAACCTACTGATGGCTCAATGTAATTTTATTGGTATCTATTTTTATTTTGAAATTTAACAGTAGCTGCTGTATTTCCCATCCTAGGCTTATGAGAAATATCGTGCACAAAATCACCCTCGGGCTATGTGCATAAGGGGTATATGAAACATACATGAATTTTATGTTTGGACAGGTCCCATCTCCAAGATATCTCACTATATATAAGCAAATATTTTAAAATTTGAAAAATATATGAAATACGGAACACTTCTGGTCCCATAGGGCACTCATTCTGAAGAGTCAGAGTTCTTCAGCTTGGGATATGCTAAGATATGTTAGCAAACCTAAACTTTCTTAAATCCACCCTCTCAGTCACAGGTAATGAATTTAGCTTAAGGAGAGAAAACTGCTTAAAGGCACCTGTAACTTAAAAGAACAAAATTACTGTGACCATGTTTGTGAATCCCGGTTTCACAAGCAGTAAGTTGAATCTCTGCTTGCAGAAACTAAAATATGACACTATCAAAGCTCTGTAAGGTTATATTTCATGGACTACGAATTTGAAAACAGTGGAGAAAAAGAGTTTCCAACCTCCAAGCTAGTTTTGTATTATGTTTACATACGCAGCCAAGCTACACGGGGATGGGAAATTCACAAGGAGGACAAGAAGTTAATGGCCTTCCCCTGGGGATGTGGCAGCATCTTAAGAGGAAATCCTCACTACAGGGCTGATTTCCTGCCCTCAACTGCCAGGATTGTGGAAACAACTCGCTGTAGGAAATAAAACTAAATATTTTGAAAAGAAATATTTAACCTGGCATATTTGCTGAGGATAAAACATAATATTGTAAGATTAAGCCAAATGCAACATGGATATTTATATTTAGGTACTATAGGAAGCAGCCTTAGTCTTACTGCCGAACTCTTTCTTTCAAAGCCATACTTAATCAATGTGCAAAGGCATGTTTTTTCATTTATTATTATTATTATTATTATTATTATTATTATTATTATTATTATTATTATTATGTTGAACCATCTCTGGGATGGAGAAAAAGTAGTTGGTAGCATAAGCTCTTAAGATGTTACCTCAAGACAATATTAATAAACCGATATGGAAACCCACTCCAATCTGTTCCCAAAATGTTATTCTGCCCTGATTTGTGCACATCCTGAACCTCTCATCTTGAAAGCAGAGCATGTAGGCCTTCTGAAATTATGCTTGTATGCAGCAATACATTGTAGCAATGTATATATAGAAAGAGGGGAGGGGGTTGAAACGTTTTCTTTTAGTGAATGACAAAGAGTAGTTCCATAACACAAAAAAAATTAAATGCCCATACATATTATCATTTTTTTTAGAAATGACATAAAATACCTTTAATCTGGTACCAAATTATTCAAAAATGACTTGATGGTTTAGGAAAAATTAATGTATAAACTTTTAAAGCAAACATAAATTATCAGAGTTGTTATAGACCTTAAAGTGTATCTTAAAATGTATTTAAACTTAAGTTTTTCTTATGGAGTTTTTTTGGGATTACAATCCTCCAAATGGATGAAGCTTGGCATAAGACAAAAGCACAGCCCTAAAAGACACTACCAGGATAGTCACCATAATGAATATAAGTAATATAATGAAAATTTATTTTTAATCTGGGTGTGTGTGTCAAATAGCCTGCAGCTCCACCCGTCAACCGCCCCCACCAAATCTGGTCTCCTTCATGAGGGCCTTTACCCCCCCCCCCCCCGGGGCCAGGTCACAATCTCTCAAACTTTTGGAAGGTCAGATATCTTATTTGTAGTTAAAAAAAATTAAAAACAATACAATAATTAAAATGAAAAAAACAACTTAAACAAATATAAACTTATTAGTATTTTGGTGGGAAGTGTGAGCCTGCTTTTGGCTGATGAGATAGGATTGTTGTTGTTGTGTGCTTTCAGGTAGTTTTAAACAGGTTGACCCTGAGCAAGGGCCGGATAAATAACCTTGGAGGGCCGTATAAATAACCCGGGCCTTAGTTTGAGGACCTCTGTTTTAGGCTTTGCCTGCCAGATATGGATGGGCCAACTTGGTTGCTTCCACTTTATTGGCTATTGCTGCAAGTTTTTTTGTGTGTAAGGAGCAACTTGAGAAACTAATGACAGTGTGAATAAATTGTCACAATTAGCTTGAGATAGTGCTTGCAGATGTGGAGGAACTTGTTTAATTTTTGTTTCTCATAGACTTAGCATGGGAATTAGGTTAACCAGTTAAAATTCATGTGTAAACCAGGTTTTATTTTTCAACTGGAAACATTTGGGGGGGGGAGGGTTAACCTCTAACTCCCCCCTCCCTTGGCTACAGCCCTTCTTGCGTGTTTTCACTAAACACAATAATAATGAACATGAACTATCACCTAGAAATATGAGTGCCATGGCTTAAACATGGGTGCTATGGTACAGTGCTAAGCCCAGAAGAAAACTCCACACAACTGTGAAGTGTACCTTGCATGGACCAATTTCTCCCTTAATTCACTTTGCCCTATAAGTTATGGCGTAACGCCACCAGGTTCCCTGGAAGAAGACAGGATATTAATGCAACAAACAAATAGGACATTATATCTTACTTGAATACTCTTAATAGCAAACCTCATTACTACAAAGGTGATAGGAGGGGAAGCTTGGAGTTTGGAAGAGATTTTCTATTTTTTTACCTTAACTTTCAAAATCCTCCCAACTAGCATAAATGACAATATGCACATTTGAGAGTTGTAGCCTTATGAGCTCTTGTTCAACCCAAGACATTTTCCAGGTTCTGGAACCATGTAACTGTCTTTAGTTTTCCTTCCCAGGCATATCAGATTTTTTTTTCGTGTCAGGAGGGACTTGAGAAACTGCAAGTTGCTTCTGGTGTGAGAGAATTGGCTGTATGCATGAACATTGCCAAGGGACGCCCAGATGTTTTACCATCCTGTGGGAGGCTTCTCTCATGTCCCCACGAGAAGCTGGAGCTGACAGAGGGAAGCTTACCCCGCTCTCCAGATTCAAACCGCCAGCCTTTCAGTCAACAGTCCTGCTGGCAAAAGTGTTTAACCCACTGCGCCACCGGAGGCTCCATATCAAATGAACATGTGGAGATGGAAGAAGATCTCAACTTACCTGTGGGGAGGAATGCAGGGTACCGACACCACTGGGGCAGCCGCTCTTTTCTCTGCCAGGATCTTCCTTGCCTTCTTCATCTTGATCCGGGACTTTGCCTTGGCCTTTTTCACCTTCTCTGAGCTCCACCCTTTCCCATCCTCCTCCTCTTCCTCCTCCTCTTCCTCCCCTTCACTGTGGGAGAGGGCAGGCAGGCGTCGCATGGAGCCCGGCGGTGTGTGGATGTCACAATACGCTGTCTTGCGGACGCTGAAGGAGGTGCCATTGGCCCCTGTCTCCCGGACGGGCTCCATTTTCATGTACAACCCAGCCTGCTGAGCGCAGGTAACATGGAAGGCAGTGTAGCAGTTAGCTTTGTGGCATTGGATACAGGCCCCCGAACCTCGCTGCTTGCAGATATAGCAGGTCAATTTCCAACGGGCTGGTGGGATATGCTCTATGCTGTCAATGGGTTCCAGGAAGACTGTGTTGGCAAAGCAGACCTCTGGAATCCAGAGGGCACACACCACATGAGCCCACCGCCCATCATCTGTTTGTTTGAAAGCACCTCCTTTGTTTGGGCAAAGGGCACAGTCCACAGCCCGGGAAGGCGACTGCAGGCAGCGACGGCACAGCCACTGGCCCTCTGGGATATAGGGGACACCATAGCACTCCTGATGCACTGCCAGGTTGCACATATCGCAGAAGAGGATGACGTTGCTATTCTGACATTCCCCGTCATTGCAGATGCAGCAGACAGCATCCTCATCCACCAAGGCGTTGGGGTCTCCCTTGTTGTGGCTCTCAAAGTAGGACTCCTTTTCCAGCCGGTCCATCAGGTACTCAAAGATCTCCTGTGGAATAGGGCTGACCCCTTCCGTCTTCCGGCGCTCATTCATAATGTCCAGCCAGATATAATCTTCCTCATCCATATCATATTCAACTTCTTCATCCAGCTCTTCTGCTGACTTCTCAATGTATCTTGGAGGTAAGAGAGGATGGGGAAAGTTAAACATGGCTGGCATGGACCGAGCATTAGCCAAGGAGACCTGATCTTTATGCTAGACACAGAGAAATTGGACAGCCAAAGGGGATGCCAATCACTGCTGCATTTCCTTTTGCAATTGCTGGGGACCACAAACGCACCAGGAAGAATGCACTATTAAAAACATTTCATGTTGACTCCAACCAAAAGCCATTTTAAGTCCTATCTACATAAAACTTACCTTAGTTGTAGACCCCCATTTATAACTGCAGGCCTGCCAAATTTCAAAACAATTCACCAATCTACTGATTTTTTAAAGAATTGTTTTAAGTTTTAAGCATATAGTTTTTAAAAATAAGGCAACTGCACGAGAGTGTTCTGGGAATTGTAGTTGCCAGTAGTTTCCATTCTCAGCCAATCAGAGCATGGACACCACCAGGCTTTTGACTGGCTGAGAAACACAGAGAGAAAAAGAAAACTTCAACTCCCATCATGCTCCAAGAGGAACTTTTAATGGCCACCCTATGCTAGTGTCACTGGGAAAGCGAGTTCTAAGGCCCGTCTCAGGAGGAGGGAACTTTCCAAGAAAAAAATGGAGGAGGCTTCTTCTGCTGGGGATAGAAAAAGACGCCACAGATCCCCCTGCCTCAGGTATTTTGTGGACTTAACTCTTTTGGAAAATATTCTCTCTGTGAGTTCATTTCACTTGTCTTTTCATCTCTCTCTTCCCCTTTTTGTTTTTGAAAATTACACAACTACAATTTTTTACACTACAATGTTTTTCACAATGATTTGCGCCCAACTCTAATGAATACCAGATATTGTAGGCTATATTTCAGAGGAAGGAACTAGTATAATCTCCTTTAAGTATTCTATGTCCAAGAAAACCAAATAAATTCAAAGGATCACCAAAGGTTAACAGGCGACTTTTAAGACACAAAGCTACACAAGTCAAGGGGAATGAGAGACAGAGATGGAGTTAGCAACCAACAGTATTTTCTTTTCTCTTGTACCTGCTGCTAAAAGAATTTGTAGTCATGGATGAAAATATCACAACACGTTCCCTTCCCAAGGTGAAAATGTTTTCAATCATGTCTTTGTTTTGTTTAACAGATAGGTAGATACTGCAAACACCAAATTGTAGTTGTGGTTATTATCACAATAACCAAACTGGAATTAGATGGGAGTACCAGAGTCTCCATGGGAAGGAAGTATAGATACAAACACACACTTAAAACACTATCCTCAGGAACCGTTCTCCAAATTCAAAACACAGCAAGTTAAATCACACCACAAAATTACCTGAGTCTACACAGATATATTTCAGAATTTGGAAGAGTTTCTGTTTATTTCAGCTCCCTGAAATCCCAAGCCAGCATGGATCCCATTCATGTTGTCTTATTAATCCCAGAAAAAGGAGGAGGACGAAGAGGAGGAGGAGGAGGAAGAAGGAGAACAAGGAGAAAAAGGAGAAGGAGGAGAAGGAAAAAGAGGAGGAAAAGGAAGAAGTAGAAAAAAAACCCATTCCGAACCCTGGATTTCCCTCATGGCCGATACCTGTAATAGGAGGTGGGGCGAGGCGGTGCATCAGGCGTGTCCTGGTCCAGCTCACGGTACACAGCCTCTGGAAGCTTGGGCGTGTTGCCAGCTGAGGCACTGTGGTGGTGGTGGTGATTGGAGTCCTTGCGCTTCTCCTTGTTCTTGTGTTTGCCAGCTTTGGGGGCCACTGAGGGCGTTTCCGTGTTCTCTTTGTTGCTGTTGTTCTCCGGAGCCTCCTCGGGAGCCTCATCATCTTCCGAGACAACATCCAGGTTGTCAAAGATGCTGATCCGATGAACCCGGCCATGCAAGTCCACCTCCACCATGCGCTGGGCCTGTGCATAGGTCATGACTTCGCGGCCCGGTGACTGAGAAGTCTCGGAAGGGCTGGGTGATTGTTTGTTGGCCACACGCCCATGCCTGCCTTTCTTCTTGTGCTTGCGCAGAGGAGTATTCTGTGGTGGCGGTGGGTTGTCATGGTCGTAGTGGTATAGGTGGTACTCAATGCCACTGTAGCTCTTGTAGATCTTGCGGCAGGTGTCGACAGGACATTCGTAGGGAGGCTTGGTGGCCCGCAGGTTATGACAGAATGTCTTCACATCAAAGTCTACCCCCATGGTGTCTCTTGGGTCTGTAGGAAAGAAGAAATTCAGAGAATGGGGATACGAAGGTTACCACACCACCCACACCTAGTAATTTATTCCTCAGATCATTTTACACATGAATGGTGATGGAGGAACACAGGACTGAAACACCAGATTACTGGTTTGTTATAACAGAATCTATTTCTCCTCTTCAAATGATTTAATACAACTGACACTACAAAGATAATATACCAATCCCAAATAGCAAAAACAACAGAGTCAGCCTAGGCAACACATCAGAGGTGGCTGCACAACATTGTGCGAGAATCCTTATTTTGTTTTTAAACAGGCATTAGTCCCATCTTCTCTCTTCTGGCACACTGTTGAATAATGCAACCAGAAAAGCAGATGACAGGGACAGTATAAGAGAGAAGCAGGAGGATAGTTCTTTAAAGCTATCTCTTGCTCACAATGTACTGCCTACAAAAAAGCTTTTGAAGCAAGAACAGGGACCAGAAGAGCATTTGGCTTTTACCTTCCTTCCTCATATGCCTTTCTTCTTCTTCTTCTTCTTTTTAAAAAACCCTTTTTAAAAAAAAAACTGCTATCTTTGTGATTTCATGGCATTTATTCCATCGCCATCCTTCCCTTCTATTCCATCTAATGCAAACTGAAAGCCCTCTCAAAAGGGAACCTTCACACTTATATGTTCGGATCACTGCATGGCACACCACAGCAACTGCTCTGTGTGTAACAGCAATAGCGATCAAGTCAAGATGGGCAAGTATTTCTGTTTGGGAATATTAGCCCCACCTTGATTAACTATTAAACTCCTCTCTTATTGATTGTGGCATGGTCATATCTATGCATGGTCTGCTAACATCCCTATGTGCACTACAATGTATTTCACACAGAGCTGGCCTTGGAGACGTCTCAGAAAGTTCTACTGCTTGGAAATAAAGCAGCTGGACTGATCAAATTAAACATAACTTATGAGTCTTTGGATTGTACATGTCAATTTCCAGGTATGTGTCAAAGGTATTGCTTCTCACTTTTAAAACACAGGATCCAGGTGCCTGAAGGACTGTTTCAATTCCATGAACTACATAAGCCCTTTCCTTGACCCCCTATTCCTCTGATCATACTATAGAAGGCTACCCACACCACATATTGTTCATGCTATCCACATGCTTTCTTCATCCCAGAGAGGTAGCATTGCAAATCTAAAGAGGGTGGGGTGGGAAGAAAAGTGGAAGGCTTGCCCATAACTCTCTTATACACAATAATATTCATACAATCCTAGAGCTGGAATAGGCCACAAGGGCCATCCAGTTCAACTCCCTGCAACAAAGAAATACATAATCGAAGTCCTTCTGACAGATATGACATCCAGCATCTATTTAAAAATTTCCAGAGGAGTCCCCACCACACTCCCTGGAAGTATTCCTGTTGAACTGCAATTACCAGGAGAAAGTCCTGCCTGATGTTTAGATGGAATATCTTTTTGTGTAGCTTGTGCTCTGTATCCCAGACTCTAAAGCAACAGAAAGCAAGCCTTGTCCCTCCTCATTACTCCACCCCACACAACCCCATTAGCTGTGTAGGGAACAGACATTTAAGGAGAAGTGACACAACTACAGTGGAAACTGAACACTCACCCCAAGGTTTTTGAACTGCAATTCCAGAAGCCCTAACCAGCATATGCAATGGTGAGGAAAGCTGGGAAATGGAGTTTAGCAATGTCTAGGGGGCCAAACAATTCTTACCACAGAACAGACAGAAGAAGATGCCAGCTTATTGCTATAAGATGCCAATCTTGCTTCTCATTTTCCAGTGCAGAAGGAAGAGCAGCTAAGGAAGGAAGATCAGGCTAATCACATCGCACTAATTTTTTACCTCTTTGGAACTTGCTGATCAGACCAGAAATGATGGATCTCAGAGGAGAGATGACAATTTACTGCTCATGCAAAGCCCGCACACTATCTCCCTCATCAGATCTTGTCCCCAAGATGTAGAGCAAACTCCAACAAAGAGAGGGCAGACCTCAGTGCCCCTACTGGATGACTCTCTGGTTCCCGTGGCTATGCAACAAATGGCAAGGTACTATTTCCAAGAAGAAACAGGACTACGGTAAAGGGAAATAGAAGAACACAGTTCATTGCCATTTTTTGTTCATGCTAAGCCTGTCATACTGCTTCTGTCATCCTGTGGCATGTCACTACCATATGCAGCAGAGGGAACCACAATTTAGGCAGAGTATGGTTAGGCAACTCATTTGGCACTGAGCTCCATATCACTACAGGAATCAGACTCTATGGGAAAGAAGACCCAAGGTTGCTATGTGCATTCCACTAGCTCTTGTATGTGCTAATCACACATTAACTTTCTCACTGCAGAAGAACCAGTAAGTGTTGGGAACTGGAGGGGGAAAGTTAAAGGTATCTCCCTGTACGTCCCGCTTCAGAGTTTGAAATTGTCCGGGGAGGCACTGCTCTCGATCCCGCCTTCTTTACAAACGTGTTTGGCGGGGACGAGAGACAGGGCCTTCTCGGTGGTGGCCCCCCACCTGTGGAAGGTCACCTCCATCCCTCCTTTCCTTTAGGAAGAAATTCAAAATATGGTTTTGGGACCAGGCATTTGGGTAACAGGCTTGACAGCAATTACAATGTTTTAGAATGGACTATGAACAGGTTTTGGACTGGGTCATTGGTCGCTGAATCAGACTCGGATATGGCAATATGGTTGATAGTAATGTTTTAAATTGATTTTAACCTAATTGTGTTTTTGTATGTGCTGGCATCGAATTGTTGCCATTTTAAGTCGCCCTGAGCCCTCCCTTGAGGGATTGAGAAGGGCGGGATAGAAATGTTTGAAATAAAATAAAATAAATAAATAAAGAGCATATCAAAACATGTTAATAAAATCATTTGATGCTGTAGAATAACATGTACAAAATGTACATCAAAATGCTGGGGTTAAGGACACAATACCTCCACAAAAGTGAAAAACTGCAAAAAAAATTGTGTCAGCAGCAACTTGAGAAACTGCAAGTCAATTCTAGTGTGAGAGAATTGTCCGTCTGCGAGGACGTTGCTCAAAAGACACCCAGATATTTTTGATGTTTTTACCATCCTGTGGGAGGCTTCTCTCATGTCCCCGTATGCAGAGCTGGACCTGACAAAAGGAGCTTACCGCTTATTGCTCTCCCCAGATTTGAACTGCTGACCTATTGGTCAGCAGTCCCTGCCAGCACAAGGTTTTAACCCATTGCGCTATCAGGGACTGCAAATTAAGAATGCCATATTGAACCTGAGATAACCCTTTTGGGGGAAACTCTAGGTCATCAAGCATAACTCTATGGTCAACTTCTGCTGGTAGACCTAGAAAGTTTTAGAGATGTAGGTTCTTTAGGGATCTGTAGGTCCTTCTACATTACTATCATCTATAACTATAATCAACTTCTGGCGGAGGTTGACTTGCCATACTTGGAGGATCTAGAGAGTCCTACAGAGAACATTTTAATCAATTCTATAAATAATCAAATCTGCAAAAGCCAAATCCGCAAATGTAGAGGGTTGACTGTAAAAGTCGTCTTTAAGGTGCTAGTTTTGTTGCAATGTCCTAATTTGGTACCTGCTATCAAATCTACCCATGACACTCTTGGCTTATGCTAACTCCTACACAGCTTTGTGACACTTTCTTGCTTGGGTAAGTTGTAAAATGTAGGAGAGATGCAGCAGGCTTTGTGCACGCTCCATACTACTTTCCTCATCACACATTTGCTGTTTGCTTTAAAGCTGTTGGTACAATCAAGGAAGAAGGTGGGCGTCTGTCAGGCTGCCCACAAATCACACAGTGCTTCTCGCATCTCTATAGCATGCCTAGGTTGTGCAGCGAACAGAAATCAGAAGAGAGTGGAGAAGAGAGATGCCAGAGAGATGTCAAGCAACATACTACCACTCCTTGCTAGTATAATGCTACAGTACTTAGGATAAGATCAATTTATTTTGCTGGCTGAGGCAAAGAACAAGATTGTTATACCCCTTGTTTCCATGTACTGAAGTCAACTAAGGGCAGCTGAATTAGACTTTACCGTGGCGATATATTAGCATCTCCCACCACACTGAAAATAGCAAGTCAACTTAGGGAAGGTGGCACCAGCTATGTGGCACATGAAGGATGGTGAAAATGAATCACATAATAATACAATTGAATGAGAACCCGAGGGGCATCCAGCCCAACCCTATTCTGCCATGCAGGAACATACAATCAGAGCATTCCTGACAGATGGCCATCCAGCCTCTGCTTAAAAGCCTCCAGAGAAGGAGAACCCACCGCTTTAAGAGGGAGCGTATTCCACTACTGAACCGTTCTTATTGTCAGGAAGTCCTTCCTAATGTTTAGATGGAAACTCTCTTCCTGCAATTAACAATGATCATAGGGTTTAATAGGAATGTCAAGGAAGGTACCTCACTGAATTGCCTCACTCAGAGGACATCTCATGTTGTGGCGGCTGCTATAAAAGGCATAACAGATGGCACCCGCATCTCACGCTGCAACCTTCAATTTCTGTTTACACAGGAAGTAGGAAAGGTAAGGAAGGACAGGAGCTGGGAACTAAATATCAGGCTACAATCCAGCAAGGTTCATTCTACACTCACAGACCTCACTTGACTTTGTGCCAGGAGAGCAGGTGGCAATAAGCTGCCAAGTTACCCTCCCCAAATATCGCCTCGTTAGCCACCCCTCTACTTTTGCAGGAAAGAAGGAGAATGGAGCAGGGGCATGTGTATAATGTAGATTGAATGCAATTTGGCACCGCTTTAACTGCCATGGCTCCTGTTGTTGAGTGATGCGGCTTACCTCTTTGGCAGACAGGGATAAAAAGACTTTGCAAAACTCTATGGAATTGTAGGATTTGGTGAGGCCCCAGCATTCATTGGCACAGAAAGCTAAAGATCTTGTAAACTTAGAACTCCCAGGATTCTACCACATTGAGCCATGACAGTTAAAGCAGTATCAACTTTAATTCTGACACACATGCCTCCTACATACTGGGCAACCAATTGGG